TAATTTGCGTTCGACTATTCGATGAGCACAGCAGGGTCACATTGATCACTTCACTTGTAACAGTTGTTATCCGTTCTTCCTCATAATCACTTAAGAGAAATGTTACTGTTACTCTGTCAAGCGCGAAGGCTTAAAGGGGGATATCATACAAAATTAAACTTCTTTATTAGCAAGGATTGTTTATGAAGCGATCAGGCAAGTAAGTGCTCACTCGAACACAGTCAAAAACGCTTACATCTCACGGTGAAAATGTTATTTCATCCGTTATTTTAAACGTTCTTTTCAATAATATACTCCAGTCATCAGAGCCGCTGAACTTCGATTGTCTTCGATAAAAACCATCTGAAACGCTACTTGAACTTAACAACTTAACAACAGCAAAGCCGAATTCTCTTGAGCAATAAACTTAACCTAATTATATCATCACAATCGCCCAAAAAAATAAACTCGTTATCTCTCTCAACAATGACTGCGTTCTTGTCATAACACAACCGGTTGAATGGTCAAAAACAAAAAAAAAAGCACTGAAGAAAACATTTCCATTGTGCAATTAGATTTTTTCACACGCATGCCGACTGGTTGTGCAATGCAATCGAAATAAATAACTCAAAAGCGGATGATTGGGCAGGTCTTCTCATAGAGCTGGTCTTCGAAGAATGCCGATTCGCATAGTCTCAACACTGAACCATTTCATCGATTCGTGCTCACTTAGCACCGCAAGAAATGTTCATCGAAAATTCCACAAAGGATTATTGAATTCTTCGTAGGATTCCAGTAATTGTCATCGAATCAAAATTAACATTTGACAAAAGTTATTCTGTACAACATAACGAGCATTTTCAGTGAATAAGATGCAAACGAGACAGTGAATCCAAACAATTGATTGGGTTGTACAATTAATTCATAGCCCATCAGGAGTATCAATCTAGTGTTTTGCTAAATTCAGCAATCNTTGTACAATTAATTCATAGCCCATCAGGAGTATCAATCTAGTGTTTTGCTAAATTCAGCAATCTAATAACACTGGTCTACATCGCTAGTCTAATAACACTGGGAGCTTAAAATGGAACCGATTGAAAAAATGGAATTGGAAAAAAGTGGACGAGAACGGAATTATGATAAAATTGATAGATGAAACGGAATTATGAAAATGGAATTGATAAATGTTGTTTGGCAAGAACGGATCAGCACAATTAGCGATTCACATGAAAGTGGTTCTTAAATCATGTTTCACAGCTGTAATCTGCCTTGGTGAGTGCACAATGGATAGACTACATAATGCAATTGAAATCTTGTTATTCAAAACCTCAGCTGTTATATTTAAGATTTTAAGAGATGTTCGATTTCTTTTTCAGAGCATTTATTTCAGAGTCGTTTTGACGTGAACACTGCAAAGGCGGAGCAGCGCATTGCAACAGCACTTCGTTAGGCCATCTCAGTGCGCATATAAAGGCATCATCAATTCTCAGTTGTAATGCGGGTTTTGAAAACTCCATCCATCCCTTCGCTCTATTAGTTGTTATTTTGATGTACTGCCTGCGTTTTGTTGTCGATTGTGACGAACAGAAATTACCACTTCAAGATGACCAGCAATTACCAACGATCAGTACTCTCATTTTAAATGTTTCATTCAAATCAGTACCTTTGAAAACCTTCTTATTTTTCCTCAAAACTAATTCAGTCCATCACGGAACCCTTTATGAATATCACTGCTCATCGANGGTACCGGTATTACTGAGCTCAGGAGTGTTTCTTGCAAGTGCCATTGTTTTTTGCTACTGATCTGTTGAAGTATTATTGGTTTCATCTCAATTTCTACAACGAAACGCGTTATCAATATCTCTGAGTTCCCTTCATACGAAGTCTTCACGTGTGTGTATTCATACTTCATGTTACTAACATTCCGTTCCAACAAACGTTCAGTTCGAAGCATCGCATCATTCAGATGAGATGCATAGAAATTTTCAATTGACTTTTACCCTAAATGGCGTTTAATTTAAGAATGAAATAATATGCACAAAAAACCTAACATGTGAATCACGTTGAGTATGTTCAATGAAATTTTTAAAATGTCCTTTGCAAAACAATGAACTATTTGCCAAAGATCTGTGCTGCAATGAAAGTTGCGTTTTGTCACGTGAAATCAACCAATTAATTTTATTTCCAATTCCAGTTTGTTGAAAATTCAGTTTTCGGTTCCTTTCAATGATTTATTACTATCATCGTTTCCGTCGTGATCGTCGTTGGGGTATTTAACGCGCAATGTTTTTAAACGACGTTATTGAATATTGAACGAAAATATTTGCAGACTTAATGAGCGTAGTAACAGTTTGTTGGGCAGTTGTGACGCTCTTCGAGTTTGCCATTAGCATTCCGGCAGTAACTCGAATCAGCGATCATTTAGAAATGCAGTCGAGTTTAGATAATTTGGATATGTGCGAATATCTAAAAAACAAAACAGGTGAAATTTGCCTTTCAGTCTCAGCAGCATAATGCAGAAGAATTCAAAAATTGTCACTAATGGCCTGTAAAACACTCACTCTGTGCAGATAGACAATTGAGTTTTAAGAGAACTCATCAAGTGAATCTTGTCCGGAGGTGCGAAAACCACCAATGTTGAAAGTATGAATTTCTCGGACGGATGATAACTTTTTTTTGTGCTCTTCAAATGTGCAGTTTTAATAGAACATTCATCTACGAGAAAACTTGTTCTTGTACAAGAGCACATGTTATCGCATTGAGACAATAATTGCTAATCACATGTAATTAAAGTGTAGAAATCAAGTTGAACAGGTTTATCGAATGAATTCATTTCATTAAACAAAATACACCATCNCACATGTAATTAAAGTGTAGAAATCAAGTTGAACAGGTTTATCGAATGAATTCATTTCATTAAACAAAATACACCATCACCATCAACAGAAACCATCCAGATTTTTGTTTTGTGAATGGATTATGAAACTGCATTAAGATGGCACCTTAATCATTAAACCTCTGCATTTATGATCATTGAATGCAACAAGGAAGCAGCCAAAGTGACAGAAATGATAGATGATTAATTCAGATATTGAAACACTGGAACAACATCAATTTGGTATACTTGAACAATGCTTGTACTATTATTTGGCTGGTGAAGCACAACGCAAATCTGCGAATGTTGGTGTGGTACATGCCCTCGCAACACTACCACCTTCCATTGGAACAAAAAAACCATCACCAGTCACGATTAACTTCAATCAAATTACCTTACAACATTTCGAATTGGTACTCACAATTTTTCATCATTCCATGTTGATTTAATAATATGCGTGAGTGAATACCAACTATTCATGCATGAATGAACAAATCAGTAACACCAAAATGATTTATTTTGCATTACGCAATGGAGTCTTGTAGTTTTGCAAATTACCTTGCAACGTGTGATCTTTGGACAAAAATGGCATGTTAAAAATGCTCTTCCCGGCCCATTCATCTCTTTTGCGTCCTTGAAAATCATTGACAGTTGTCATCAGTTG